AACCCTGAACCCTCTAAACCCGAAACCCTAAACCCCATACACCCTAGCAGCCTTACACCCTACAAACCTTAAAGCTCGCACTCTACATGACGAAAGGAAAATGCACGAGGGCAGCCCCCAGCATCTGTCGAACATTGCTTGGGCAACCCGGTCTCCAAGCGCTTGGTGGAGATTCAGTTCTGTAAGTTTCCAGGGAGTGAGTTCTACGACGGTTATCACTAGGGTTTAGGGTTTAAGGTTTAGAGTTTCGGAGTATGTCGCTCATCCATGCTTTTTGTGCTGACCATAATTGCTAGTTGTAGTTATCGGTTTTGATTATCATGTTCGTGCTTATTCGCAAGCTTTTGGTAGCAGCAGCAAGGGGAGTGGTGGTGTGTTATAGTGAGAGGTACCAGGTGATAGTGACGAAAGAGCACTTACACTCGTCCCAGAGTAGTCGTCGTCGTAGTAGTAGCAGCAGCAGTAGCAGTAGCAGTAGCAGTAGCAGTAGCAGTAGCAGTAGCAGTAGCAGCAGTAGTAGTAGCAGTAGTAGTAGTGGTAGGAGGAGGAGGAGGGAGTACTGGCAGCAGCAGCAGCAGCAGGAGCAGCAAGAGGAGGAACGAAAAACCAAGTAAACCTGAACACGCATATTTCTAACACAAAAACTAAGTGCGACAAGCATCGACCAATGGGTTTCGCAGCGAGAACTCAGGCAGCCAGCCAACTCGGTCCACAGCATTTTCACGATTGCTTGACTGCTGTGGTTAAAGAGACTTCGCGCCGCATCTCTGAGTTCGTTCGTGACTCAGATTTCCAGAGATTTGCATCATCTCGCATCCCAAAGTCGTCAGTCAGCTTGACTGAGGATTCGCCGTCCATCATGCAGCTTGGCCATGACACTCCCTAGCCATCCCACTGCACACAAGGCTCGCGGTGTTCTTGTGCCACTTTTCAGAGTGCACCTCTGGTCGCTAAGGATGCTGAGCGACTCCCTCTACGAAGCAAAGTACGGCGTCGATCGGGAAGAGCCGCTTCTGAGCGTGCTTCGGAGCCATGTGATGAAGATGGGATCCGAGTTGCCCTGGCCTCAGTGAGAGCAGGGATCATCGAAGCCGTCTCGTGGCTCCTTCTTTGGTGCTCTGAAGGATTGTTTTGGATTTTATGCTAGCAAACACATCCAAAGGACGATCCACAAAACATAGCACTCTTTTATTGCGGTTCTGAGGGCGCTTGAGCCCTGTCCGACTTTCTCGTTCAGTAAGTATAAGCAATACGATCCTAAGAGCATGACTTCGGCCGTAAGTTCTCTGAGACCCCACTCTCAAATATGAACCTTCCAGCCCAAAAACCTAGACCTAGGGTTAGAGTTTAGGGTTTAGGGTTTAGACCTACTAACCCAACCCCAAAACCCCAGAACGCCAAGCTCACAAATCCCAAGCCCTACACCTCAAACCCTAAACGCAAACCAAACCAAACTCAAGAACCCCAGACCCTAAAACCCTACACTCCTACACACCCTACTACACACCCTATGCCCTAAAACCCCAAACCTCGAGACCCAAAACCCAAAACCTCGAGACCCTAAACCCCAAACCCTAAACCCTAAACCCAAAACCTCGCGACTCCAAACCCTAAACCCTAAACCCTAAACCCCAAACCCAAAACCCAAAACCTCTCGACTCCTGGCGAAACAGATGGGCAGTTCTCTAAATTAGGGTCCTTTCTAGGTCCCCAAAATAGTACGGCACCCTTATAAAAAGGGGCCC